TAGAAGTGAGAAGTAGGTAACGTGATCATGTTGCAAATGAATGTCGAGACCATTTTATGTCGAACCCTGATCCGAATTCTTGGCATGAATCGCTATATAAGGGTTTGTTTCTCATGTGAGGATTTTGAATTGGGTTTGTTTGATTCGGGCTAGTTTTAATCATTCAATTTTCACACGTCTTGATTGATTTTTGTTTGATTAAATGAGTTAAGCGTAGTTTATTTGAGTATCGCTTAATGGTTAACACCGTAATAAATAATATTGGATCCAATTATGCATCTAAAATTGGTAATAATTTATGTGAATAATAAAAAATAAAAAATAAAAAAAGAAGAAGAAAAGGATAAATAAATGAATACAATAATTTGGAGACAAATCAACAAGTTTTTGTCGTGTTTCGCTTGGATTTTCCTACACAGCACATATGCTTTTCCCCATCCCAAGTTTGGTATCCAATGTTTTTTTTCTCTCTCTCATCTTTCTCTCTCTAACACATGCACTTAGAAGGAAAAAAAAAACCCTAATTTCCGAGGTGGGGAAGACACTGAGCCCTAAACATATATATATGTCCGATCAGATAAGGACACACGTTGCATGGATGAGAGAGAAAGCTTATAGAGAGAAAGTGAGAAATTCCCATTATACCCTTTCTCGAGAACGTGTAAAGAGAGAAAATTTGATTGAATATGATCGATACAATGTGATTATCTGATAATAAGTAGACGTAGGTTTAAAATCTATGTTACATAATTTAGATTTGAAATATGTTAATAATTATCGCTCCTTAAATCTTAAAGAGAAAGAAGTTGACTTGATTATGTCACCTAAATATTAATATTAGGTTAAATTGGGTTCGAATTTTTTTTAGAAAAATTCCAATATTTATTACATACAATATTAAAAACCTATCAAACACGAAATTAAAAATTTAGATATTTTTAATTTTTAAAAACTTAATTAACACAAATCTCATATAGGTTGGAGAAGAGAACAAAACATTTCTTATAAGGGTGTAAAAACCTTTCCTTAGTAGACGCGTTTTAAAACCGTGAAATTGACGGGATACGTAATGAGTCGAAGTGGACAATATCTGCTAGTGATGGGTTTTGACTGATACAATCACGAACGACTCGTCAATCTTGTCATACACGTCGTTAATTAATATGTCGAACTTTTAGTGATCATATGATATCAGCAATACGTATGATTACGATAGGACGATAGGACGACGTAGTACTCGTTTTGAGTTGAAGGGAAGAGGAAGTGCTTTGGGAATTGGGAATAATACAAACCACATGAGTCTCTATCCATGAAACAAAGGGGATGGCAATAATGTTGACCTTTGGATGTATATTTTTGTAAATTTTTTTAGTTAAAATTTTAAAAGTAATTTCTACGCAAATGCATCCCGGGTCCATTTATATACTAGTACGAGTAAGAAATAGGTCAATTTAGCAGCTTTTTTCTCAATTTTTCTTACTCGTTTTCATTTTGGACAAAACATCTGAATGAAATGTATTTCCCAAATGCTCGTTTTTTCAATTACACAGTATGGCTTATCGATCCCACTCATCCCTTTTTCAATCTCAAGAGCAAACAATAACTTTATCGCTACAAGAATTTCGGTTTCTCTTATGCAAAACTATCTCAAGATGTTTTTTTCCCGACAACTCGTCCCAGTGCATTTATACCTCGAGAGAATCTTTACCTCGACTTTTTTGAATAAGGACATTATTTAATTTAATTTAATGTAATTCCACAAGAAAAATATAGGGTTTAACGTTCATTGAGCCATGAATTAATGACAAATAATCAAAGTCCTTTGATTTAAACTATATACCCATAGAATGTTCTTTGGTCTTCACTAAAATAAATAAATAAATAAATAAATAAATAAATAAATACTCCCACATGCACATTATTAAATAATTAATTACTTCGTGTTAGGTTCTAATTGATACATAATATATGATATTTTAATTAAATAATGTTTTATTTATTATTAGACATTATTAAATGCATCTAAGATTAAATAAAATCAAGAATCCAAGGAGAAAAGGACATGAAATGGAATCAAATGGCATCAAGTTGTTATCGTTAACCCTAGCTGCATTTTCGGCATTGGAAGGATAAAAAATCTACTCGAGCGACAACTCCCACGACATAGGAGCGGGATTCTCTCACTAAGACTTCATCCGTTATCATCCTACGAACTATATTGGATATTAAAAATTGATAACTTGAAGAAAGTATGAAAACAATAGCAATCGATTCGGGAGTGTCACAAAATGATAGCAATCGCACTGTAACTTATGGGATTTCGTTCTTTATCAAATTTATCTTTTCTATAAAAAAAATACTAATTCTTCTTAAAATTTAAAAAACAAAAATTATTTTTTAATTAAAAATTTTGGTATTTATAGACTTAATTTTAAAAACAAAAAAGGGCTGAGTTCACGGGCAGCCCAAATTTACGAAGGCCACAATCAAAGGGCCCATTTCATTTTTGGGCCGGAAGGTACTTGTCTGGGCTATTAAAAATGTCCATTTGTTGAAACGATGTCGTTTTAATAACTATTATCTAAAAATAAAATAATTAATAAATTTGAATTATCATGCTCAGAAGATGTAATAATACAATTATCCAAATTGCCATTTTTTTAATAAGTAAATATATAATTTTTAAGCGTTAAATATTTTTCAACATAATTATAATTAAACAAGAAAAAAAAACCCAAAATTGACCAATTTAGGTAGCTTCCAACTGATACTGTCCACCATCCTATCATTAATTTCAATTATTGATACTATAAAATTTGGAAAAATATAAATAATAAACCATTCTCAATTTTAATTATTTCATACCTATTTAAAATAATAATGCTCGCCACGCAGAAATAATTTGTTAAATTATTATTATGCATTAAATTTATTTTTTTAATAAAACAAAATAAAATTCATATTTTTAGTTCAATAATAATAGATATTTTCCTACAATAAAAACAAATTTAAAAGATTCCATTCAATTCTATTATTCTAAGCAAATAATAATAATAATAATAATAACCTATTAATTGTTTTTTTCTTTCTTTCTTTCTTTTATATATAGATTAAAAGATAAAAATCAATTAAATTAAATTAAAATACAATTATGTTAAGGACAAAAATGTCCAATTTTGTGAAGTTTGTTTTGAGTGTTGGGCATAATAAATGTTGCCTGATAACTATCTCTCAACCACATAATGATTTAAGCTCATGATTTTTATATAATTTTGTAAATCTTTAATTATACCATTTATTTATTTATTAAATTTTTTATATTAAATTTATATTAACCTAGTAACTCTCAAATTTACATTTTTTTTTAATTTCAATATAAATAATATTAGTTTGTCACAAACAATCAACTTTTCTGGCTTCATTACAATGTTAATATATACACTCAAAGTCATGTATTATTTATGTATCAAAATCGAACTAAAAGTAAAGACAGGTGTTGATGCATGATTCCATACTAGCTAAATTCACTTGATATGAACTAAGACATAGATGAGAATAGCTACAAAATTGAAAGATAAGAGATCGTGCAACACCTTCTTATATATGTTTGCCAGATGCATAGACAAATTTAGGTTTATAGGTTAAGACCAGTTTGGTCGGTCTAGCTCGAGCTGACTAGAGGATGCTAGATTTAGCCTTTTGGGTATGATGGCTTTAGTCATGTGAGCTAACATCAATTTTAATGCATGTTCTTCTTCGTAAGCTCGTTTTTTAGTGGACTTCATCGTTAAGTTTACACACTAAAATAAATATTTTAAAAAATTAAAGAATCAAAACTAAATTTATAATACAAAAATAATTTTTAAATATTTGTAATGGATAATGTGGGCCCACCCTTGGTGCTCGCGTGAGGACAAAGGTGGCGTAAGGTCAAACAAAGTGGCGTGTAATGTTCAAATAAGTTTTAAAAAAAATATATTTAGAGTTTGGTTTTCTATTTTTTGGTAAAAAAAAAAAAGTAATATTTAAAAATTATACAGCCCTTCCCTTCATTTCTTCATAATTATTTTCACATTTTAAAATTTATTAATAAAAAAGATTAATTATTTATTTCAGAAAATAATATTAACGTTTAAAAGATTAAATATGATAAGAAACATTACGTAATATAATAATGTTATAAATATTTAACTATTTTAGGATTATAGTTAATAAATAATTATATGAAACCCTAAAATAATAAAAAGATTTCAAAGAAAAATTCATTTTTCTTATAAATTTAATATTAAAATTTTAATTTTATTAAATTTAAGTTTAAATTTTAAAAAGTTTCTCTAAATAAAATTATGCAAAAGGGCTAATAAGGGTGAAAACTCTAAACTCATCAATAAAATATTTAAACTAAGTTAAATATTTTTATTACTGAGTTAATGCCACTATTACTGAGTTAATGCCACCATTAAAATTTCGTTTTTAATTTTATATATAAAAATATAAGGTACCCGTTCCCCTCTGTTAGAAGAACACGAGTAAGCTCTCATGACTTTGCTTTGTGCTTCCCAAAAGGTCTCAAATCAATAGAGTTAGTATTCCTCACTTATAAACCTATGATTATTCCCTAAATTAGCCGATGTGGGACTTTCATCCTCCAGCACCCTCTATAGACATCCAATAATTATAATGTTCAGTTATTTAAGCAACTTAAAAAAAAAATATTAATGTTAAAAAAATAAAATAGCAGATAAAAATCAAATCAAATTAAATTTGGAAGGAAAAGAAATATTTAAAAAATTAATGAATCAGATAATTACAAAATAAAATTTCTCATCCCTCCAATAATTGTCCATTTGCGTCGGTCGTGACCCAATAGAAATCCATTCAAATAACACAATAATAATAATAATAATAATGATTAAAATTAAAAATAAATAAATAAATAAATAAATACTAATCTTCTTCTTCTACTTCCACTATAAAAAGGCCCATAAAATCAATGCCTCACTCACTCAAAACCAGAAAGCTTCAAGAGCTCAACAATGGCGGCTAAGAACCATTTCAGCCTTCTTCTTCTCCTCCTTTTGCAGCTGTTTTATTCAGGTCCGATTTTCTTTTTTCCTTTTTTATTATTATGGAAAATAATAATGTTATTTAATTTTAATAGGGTCAATTTTAAAAAATTGTAAAACAGGAAGGGCCGAACTGCAAATGAATTATTATGCAAAAAGTTGCCCAAAAGCTGAAGAAATTATAAAACAGCAAGTTACTGAGCTCTACTATGAACATGGAAACACAGCCGTTTCGTGGCTTAGAAACCTCTTCCATGATTGCGTTGTTCAGGTAATTAATTAATTTTTTTATTTTTTTATTTTTTTATTTTTGGATACAGATGGAAGGGGTAGTCTCGGGATTAATAGATATATTGTTTTTATTGGACATAATAGAATATGTATTTCTCTTACCCCTTAACATAAAAAAACAGTTATTTTATTAATATCGAAAAAATTATTTTATAAAAATAATAATTTTTTCTTTTTTTGCCCTTTTAATTATGTCTTGAGTTTTGTATTTATTAAGGTTCTATTTTTTTTTTATTTCTTTAATATAAATAATTTTAAAACTTAATGAAAATTTAAATTTATATCTTAATAAATCTTTAAATTATAAGAAGGTCGACCGTTTCTTTAATTTATACGTTTTCTTTTCAGTCTTGTGATGCATCTCTATTGTTGGAGACGACTGTGGGTGTGGAATCAGAGAAAGATTCAGACAGAAGTTTTGGGATGAGAAACTTCAAATACGTAAATAAAATCAAATCTGCCGTTGAAAATGCATGCCCTCAGACTGTTTCTTGCGCTGATATTGTTGCACTATCGGCTAGAGATGGCATCGTTATGGTACTTAAATTAATTTACAAATAATCGATGATGTTAAATGAGTTGTGTATGGTGTTGACGAGTGAATGTGATATGCAGTTGAAAGGACCGCATATCGACCTGAAAACGGGAAGAAGAGATAGCAAAATGAGCTATTCGAATCTTGTTGAAGAGTTGGTCCCAAAGCATAATGAATCTCTTGTGAATGTTCTCTCGAGGTTTAAGTCCATCGGCATTGACACGGAGGCAACAGTTGCCCTTTTAGGTTTGCATCTGCCCAACTCTACCAGCGTTTTTTTCTTCTTTTAATTAATAATAAAAAAAAATAGTATAATTATAACGTACGTGTAAAGAAAAATAGTATAATTTCTTTTCGGTAACTCAATTATAAGAACTCAAAAGTTAGCTATAAAATTCTCGATATGGATTGTTCAATAGATGGCTAAAGTAAACCTTAATTGAAGAATTTATTGTGCTCATCATTGTTTAATTCGTTCAGGAGCTCATTCGGTAGGTCGAGTTCACTGCGTGAACTTAGTGGAGAGGTTGTACCCAACCGTCGACCGAACCATTGATCCAAATTACGCACAATACCTAAAAGTCCGATGCCCGACACCGAATCCCGACCCAGAAGCGGTGTTGTATTCGAGAAACGACCGTGAAACTCCAATGATTTTAGACAATATGTACTATAGAAATGTTCTTGAACACAAGGGGTTGTTGATCGTGGACCAAGAATTGGTTTCCAACCCTCTTACTCTTCCATATGTCAAGAAATTTGCCGCCGACATCAAATATTTTCACGACCAATTTTCTAGGGGAATTCGTTTGTTGTCAGAGAATAATCCGCTCACTGCCAATCAAGGTGAGATTAGGAAAGATTGTCGCTATGTTAATTAAAGCTACGAAACTCAATTAACGTAATTGAGTTTGTCCCATGTTGTGTGTCGTGGTCATTCTAAAATACGAATGATTACGACTGTCATGTGTATCGTTCATCTTTTCTCCTAACCCAAATTGGATTCTTGATATTCCAAAACGGGAAATGTGTAGCCGTGTGAATATATGTGGAAAACTATATTATTGTTTGATAACCGTCTTAAGTTCGGTTCGATAACAATTTTTATTTTTACAAATTAAAGAATAGATTTGAACTCTAAATTAAATTAAAAAAATTACAAATTTTTTATTTCACTTAATATTTCAAAATATTATAAAATCATAACCGATAATTTACAAACACATATACATACATACAAACATGTCTTCTCGTCATAAATAATTTTCAAATTAAATGTTATAATTTTAAAAAAATTATTTGTTATTTTTATATATTTTTAGAAATAATTATGATGGTTGGGCCTCTTTCAATTTATTGAAAGGAATAAATAATTTCCCAAAAATGATTCGAGTCAGCCCAATTATCAAAATGAGATGGTTAGCTCATTCTAGGCCTCTACAAAAATAAATATTCTAATTTTTTATATTTAAAAAATAGATATTTGCATATATAATATATAATAAAATTGTTTTTTTAATTCACAACTAGATAAAATATTAAAAAATAATCCATTGATTAAACTTTTAATTTAAGAAAATCATATATATTCTAAAACAAATAGCCTCATACTTGGTGGTTGATTTTTTTAATAAAAAAAATCATAATTAATGATTTATTATTAAGTGGTGGATGAGTAGGTGTAAGTTCAAAAGTTTGTAGCTTGTTTTTTTATATATTATTTTATTATTTTTTTAAGGTTACATGTTTGTACCTCAAATAAGTGACATCGTTTGTTTGTCTGTTTAAGGTAGAGTATTTTACTAACCTATCAAAATTGCACATGACACCCGAGTAAATGAGAGTTATATGAATAAACCAATAACAAAGAAACAAAGCATTTTTTATAACTGTGAAAATTTATCTCTAGCAATCGCATTTTAAAGCATGAGGTTGACAGTGATATGTAACAGGCCAAAGTCATACACTTCATTTTTCGGTACCTCAATCATAGAAACTTTATAGTTAAGCATGCTTTACGTGAAGTATGTTGGGTAACCTCCTATAAAATTCTCATAATATACGTAAGTAAAGACAAAACATATTGGAAGAAAAAAAATCGTGTTAGTGGACGAGGATAGTTTTACTTTTAAAAGCTTACCGTGGCATGTCCTCGTCATCAAGTACACTAAATCAGAAGAACCTAAAAATAAATAATGCACGACAATAAAACAAATTAAATTGTAAGTATGGTACAATAATAGGTGGAAAATATTTAATAATTTCTATTAGTTTTATTTATTTATTATTATTGGGAAGAAATAATATCCATTCCTTATAAGTTATTACTACAATAGTGAAGTAAAATTAAAATAAAAGGAAAATAAATGAAATGTAGCTTTAAAAAACAAAAACATCGAATATAATTCCAATTTCTTAATGCTTAAAATGTAAAACTGTGATTCTTACGTTAAAAATAATTGGCCTTCAAAAGCACTCCACAAAAAAAGAAAAAATATCAACCAACCTGGACCGTCCGATCAAAATCCAGTCAAGATTCAATAATTAGACCCGAGATCCTGTGCGTTTTTAACTAACCGTGGGGCCCACACCAATTTTTAAAATCAAAATCAGCCACCATTCTTCTCGAGATCTCCTCCCGATTTTCTACGGTCGTGATGGGCTGTAGCCCCGAATCAAACAAATCGTGACCCTACAATAAAAGAGTAACGTAAATCCGACGGTGGTACGTGCTCATGAGCCTGATAAATCCGAAATATGACGTGGCGTTAAAACGACGCCGCTTTTATGGACCTATTACTAGGAGGAGGCACACTCTATATGAAATTTCTGTTGACTTTTTTTTCCTTTGTTAATTTCATTTGTTTAATAAATAAAAGAAAAATGCAATAATTTAAAATTTATTAAGATTTAAAAAAATACAAGTTTTGTAAATTAAAGAGAAAAAAGAAAAGAAAAAAAATGACTTGGAAAACCTAATCCCACGCTTGGTTTTGGCAGATCAGCTGACATGGACAGCGCGTGAACACACCGCCTAAAAGACCGACACGTGGATTGGAAGGAAAATCGTGGAATACACGCGCAATGGTAAGGCACGTGAGACAAAAAACGTCCACTCTGTAAAAGAGATGTGAAACGGAGAAAAAAAGAAGAAAGTTTGCTTTATCATCGAAAAATTACCGTTGTGAATGTACACGTGTCAGAACGACAGTCCACTTGTCCCATTCACTAAGTATTCCTTGTTTGTATGCTGAGGTTTTGTCTATTTTTAAGCCAAAGAAAATACCATTCTTCCCTCTCTCTCTCTCTCTCTACATCTTCTTTCTCTCTCTAAGCCCGTGATTTTTTCATCATCTTCTTCGTCGGAAACAGAGATGGATTTGAAGAACAGAGCTTAATCTCAATAATGGTTAATTTCTCTCCATTTTCCACGTCATTTACCTTCATATTACTTCTATTTTCCTTTTCCAGTGCTGGCATTTTCAATTCCGCCGCCGCCGCCGCTGCCGCCGCCACAGAGTTCGACTTCGGCACCGTCGCCCTCAGTAGCTTGAAGCTCCTTGGCGATGCTCACTTAAATAACGGAAGCGTGATGCTTACGCGAGACCTTGCCGTCCCCAACTCCGGCGCTGGCAGAGTCCTCTACGCCCAACCTATCAGATTCCGGCAGACAGGGATTGACTACCTCGCCAGTTTCTCCACATTTTTCTCCTTCTCCATTACGAATCTCAACCCTTCGTCGATAGGCGGCGGGCTGGCGTTTGTAATCTCGCCGAACGCCGACACTGTCGGCGGCGCAGGAGGGTTCTTGGGCCTGGCCGACGAGAGGGGATTGGGATTCGTGGCGGTGGAATTTGACACGTTGATGGATGTCGAATTTAAGGATATTAATGGGAACCATGTCGGATTGGATCTGAACGACATGGTTTCGTTGCAGGTTAAAGATCTGGATGGAATTGGAATCGATCTCAAAAGCGGCGATACGGTGAATTCTTGGATTCAATACGATGGGTCGTCTCGGATCTTTGAAATTTTCGTTTCTTATTCGAATTTGAAACCGACAGAACCTTTGTTGTCATTCAATCTCGATCTCGACCCGTATTTGAACGATTTTATGTATGTCGGATTTTCCGGTTCGACTCAGGGGAGTACGGAAGTTCACAGTGTGGACTGGTGGAGTTTTACGTCGTCGTTTGACTCAAATTACCCACCGGGGGCGGTTCCCCCGCCACCGACGACGACGCTGATGAACCCAGCAGCCAATATCGCCCAGTCACCGCCGCCGACGCAGCCACCGTCAGGGTCAAATTCTGTCACGCAGAAGGACACCAAGTCGCCGTCCTGCCACAACGGACTCTGTAAGCAAAACGCCGGCGCAGTTGTCGGAGTAGTGACGGCGGGGGCGTTTGTTTTAGCATTATTTGCTGGTGGGTTAATCTGGGTATATTCCAAAAATATCAAACGGGTGAAAAAAGCAGACTCCCTCACTTCAGAAATCATCAAAACGCCGAAGGAATTCACTTACAAAGAGCTCAAAATCGCCACGAAATGTTTCAATTCTAATAGAATCATCGGCCATGGCGCTTTTGGGACTGTTTATAAAGGGATTATGCCGGAAACCGGCGACATTGTGGCGGTGAAACGGTGCAGCCATAGTACACAAGGGAAGACCGAATTTCTCTCTGAACTTTCGATCATCGGAACTCTCCGCCACCGGAATTTGGTCCGTCTTCAAGGATGGTGTCACGAAAAGGGCGAAATTCTGCTAGTTTACGATTTAATGCCAAATGGGAGTTTGGATAAAGCTCTATTCGAGGCCAGAACGCCGCTGCCGTGGCCTCACCGGAGAAAAATCCTCCTCGGCGTCGCCTCCGCGTTGGCGTATTTGCATCAAGAATGTGAAAATCAGGTCATTCACAGAGACATTAAAACCAGTAACATAATGTTGGATGAAGGATTCAATGCCCGATTAGGCGATTTCGGGTTGGCCCGACAAGTGGAGCACGATAAATCACCGGACGCCACCGTCGCCGCCGGCACAATGGGGTATTTAGCCCCGGAATATCTCCTCACCGGCCGGGCGACGGAAAAAACCGACGTATTCAGTTTCGGCGCCGTAGTACTAGAAGTAGCCAGCGGTAGACGGCCAATCGAGAAAGAGACGGTTTCCGCCGCCCGCGGCGGAAAATTTGGCGTCAACAGTAATTTGGTCGACTGGGTTTGGAGTTTACACCGGGATGGACGGTTATTGACGGCTGCCGACGGGAGACTCAGCGGCGAGTTTGAGGAATCAGAGATGAGGAAAGTTTTGTTAGTCGGGTTGGCTTGTTCGCACCCGGATCCAATGACCCGACCCACAATGAGAGGCGTAGTGCAAATGTTAATCGGCGATTCAGATATTCCGATCGTCCCTCGGGCTAAACCGTCGTCTAGTTTCAGCACCGCCCAATTGCTTCTCACTTTACAAGACAGCGTGTCCGATCTCAACGGCATGATCGCCATTTCTACTTCCTCGTCCGAGGTGAGTTTCAAAGGCATGGATCTGATCTCGCTGGATGATCGGACGGTGGAAATCCATCAAACGTCAGAATAATTATCCACTCATACGGTACATATATTTCACAGAATTAAATTATTGTATTTTTCAATCTTATCCAATATTTTTTTCTAATTTAATGTATGACAAAATAACCAGGCATCAGCACTCCAACTGAGATTGTGGGGCCCACAGTTTATTTATTAATTATTATTATATCTTACCCTTTTTGGGATTCTGGGTGGATGGTTGCTTTCAAAAAATTAACCTCCTTTTTTTAAAAAATAAAATACTAATAATTATCATTAGTGATTAATTATGTAACTTTATAAAAAAAAGTATTGATTAATTAACTAAGTTTAAAATTTTTATAATTATTAAAATATATTTATTTTTTTAGTTTCCAGTTTAAATAATAATAATTGGCGGGGCCAATTCTTTTTTAGATTTGAGAATCTTCACTGATTCCTTGATAAATTAACTATGAAATATTATATCAAAATTCATACATTTGATTTAGTTTTTTAGTGAGACATCAATATTTCGCATTGGCGTGGTGCTGTGATCAACGTCTTTAAATGGCTAAATAAGTGTTTATACTATGTCAAATTGAGGTAGGGTAACTCTTGTGTACCTTGGAGTTTAGATGGTCCCCATATTACAACATTCCCCACTACCACATGGTTGTTTCTTACTTGAGACACTGCAATGGAGATCCCGAGATTCGATAATGCTTGCCTTGAATAAGATCTAATAGTTTTTCCTATATACCCTCAAATCTTGTCTCTTTAGTTCGATGAGGCTAGAAACCCTCACCTAGGAACACATCAATGTAGGACTATATGGTTGTTCGTACATATGAGCCTACGTGAACTTCTCCTCTAACAAATTCGATCAAACAATTGACAAAAAAATAATAGAGACAAATGATAACTACGTATATTTTGTCGGTCTATTATTATTATTATTGTTGTTGTTGTGTTAAATTATCGTCCTAAGTTACTTATAAAGTTTGGTAAATGAGTTTTTCTTCAAAAATTTATTAGCTTATAGTGACACGTGGAATATTTAATTGTGATTGACACGTGGAATATTTAATTGTGATTGTCACATTGATTAACATTTTCAAACCATATAATATATACAATTAATTCATTGATCATTGCATGCAATAATATAGAAGTAGTTTATTAGCCTATTGGTAGAGGCTGTTGGATATATATATATATATATATATATATATATGCCACGTGGCATTATGTGATTGAATTATGCAACAACTTACTTGCTTAAGTGGGAACTTGTCTCCATTAAAGGGGATTGAAATTATTCATCAACTATATAATAAAATAAAATAAATAATTTTAGTTGTTGGAGGACTTTGGATTTATATAAGAATTTATTTAAATCAAGAAAAAATAAAAATTATTTATTTTATTTTATTATATAGCTTTTTAGAATGCTAGCTCAAACTTTTGTCTTTTTTTTTTTTTCTTAAATAATAATTATTGTTTATTTGGGTTTGAACGGATTCCAAACATTGGGCCTTAAAATATTATTGGGCTTGTTATAAGGCCCAAAGGATAAGGGAAATGGGCCTTGTGGAAATTATTGGTGCAAGCCCACTTTACTATACACAAGTACGATCGGTAGCAAATTTTATAACCTGAATATTTTAAATTCTAAAAATAAATATTTTTATTTAATAATAATAATATACGACGAGCGTACATGAGCCCATTACGATGAAAAGAGCGGCCCATAGAAAACGCGGGACTCTGATGGACCAAATCGCCGATTTATATGAAATCTTACCCTTTTTTTGCTGACATTTCTCCGTCAACGCTGCACCGCCAATCCGATCCAATTTCGTATATTCGGGATCTTCTTGCTGGCCGATCTAGCCAGCTCTGAGTCGTAGTCATGGCGTCAGCCAATGGCAAGGTATGATTGTCGAAGGAATCGTGCTTAGTTTCCTGCTTTTTGCGTTCAATTTCACGATCTGCCCCTTTTGGATTCCATTTTTTTTATTGTGTTCGAATGCCTTTTTCCTTCAATTTTATTGTTTGGATCTATCTGTGTGTGTTTAGAATCGTTTTTTCTTCTTTTCTGAAAGCTTGTTTTCATCTGGTTGGGCGGTGATTTGATTAGCGACTGCTGGTTTGGATCGGAATTTTGTTTTGGTTTTCTTTTTGGTTGGAATTCTATGGGAGGAAAATTGAGCTTCTGATTGTTTGGCCCACGCATTGTAGGACCTGTAAATCTTGGTTTCTGGTGTGGAATTTGTCTTTTTGGGGAAATTTTAGGGAAAGATGAACCGTGCAGGCGAATTGACGTTTCAAATTGGGGAATTTCGAGCTGGTAGGTTGTGAATGTGTGATCGGACTGCTCTGTTGTATATGTGTTCATCATTAAAGCTTGGATAGTATTTGAAACTATTATTTGTTTTATGGAGAAATAGTTTAAGATCGAACGGGGCTAGGTTTAAGAAATCTGATGAAGAGAAGCCAATTTGGTGTATGCCCTAGTTTTGAATTGAGATAAATTTGAACAGAACTGCCTGTTATTAATTCTTGAATGGTAATTTCTCATTAATAAAAGTGGATCTCCATTTCTGAAAGCGTCTAATTAGTAATTCCTTCATGAAATCTATGCATAATTAGATCATCCATCACTCAAGGAAAACATGAAATGGCGGGTTTTGTTCATTGAAGAATCAACTTCAATTTTGTGGCTCATTGTGATGGTGCATTAATTCTTGTTCTGTAAGTGAACAGGGAAATGTGATGAACGATGTTGCAGCAAAAGGATTCAATCCAGGGCTAATGGTACTTCTTCTTGTTGGTGGGTTGCTGCTGATTTTCCTCATAGGGAACTATGCACTTTACTTGTATGCACAGAAGAATCTCCCTCCCAAGAAGAAAAAGCCAGTTTCTAAAAAGAAAATGAAGAGGGAAAGACTGAAGCAAGGAGTGTCTGCACCTGGAGAGTAAAAGAAAAAAATGACTCAAGTGTTTAACTTCCCGAGGTTTCCTTCTTAGAACGTTTTGATTTTCCACAATTTTCATACATAGACTGCCTAGAAAGTTCTTACAGTTGTTTATTTCTTTTATTTGCTGTCTCTTAACTCTTCAGGAATTGATCTTGATTGTGAGTTTCTAATTCATATTACCTTAAATGGGCTCTTTTCTCAAGGTTCCATTGGTTCTTTTCTGCTTATTCTCCTCTTTTTGGTACACACCAGAAAGATTTCTGTTTCTCCATCTTTAAACAGCCTTAACTCGGTCCTTTTTACTGTTAGAATCTTTTCTTTTTCTGCCTTTGAATCTTGTAATAAATGGTGGGGTTAGATTGTAGAGTCTCTATAGGGTTGAGTGATGGATTTGTGTAACTCTCTGTTTAGAAGATTAGAACACACTCATAAATTTGTCACAAGGAACATGTAGTCAACTAAGGAAGAGACATGTTCCTCAAGGGGCCATTACTACCACTTATTTGAATCACGTGGAACACTAGAGACCATTGAAGCACATAAAAGCTTACCTTTTACTGAAGCAAGTCATCTTGTCCCCCCCCCCCCCCCCCCCCCCCCCCCCCCCCCCCCCCCCCCCCCCCCCCCCCCCCCCCCCCCCCCCCCCCCCCCCCCCCCCCCCCCCCCCCCCCCCCCCCCCCCCCCCCCCCCCCCCCCCCCCCCCCCCCCCCCCCCCCCCCCCC